GGAACCATGACAAACTATGTACTTTGAAAACATTTTAGCCAGCACTGGTGGCTCACACCTGTAATCCTAGCTACTCAGGAGGCTGAGATCTGAGGATCACAATTCAAAGCCAGCTCGGGCAAGAAACTCCATGAGACTCTTATCTCCAATAAACCACTCAGAAAACCAGAAGTGGTGCTGTGGCTCAAGTGGTAGAGTGCTCACCTTGGGCTTAAGAACTGAGGGATAGCGCCCAGACCCAGAGTTCAAGCCCCACAACCGACCAAAAAAAAAAAAAGAAAAGAAAGCAAAACATTTTAAAATGAGAGAAATGCTCAACATAATATGAGGAATTGTAAAATAAATAAGATACAATTATATACATAAATGAAAAAATTTTAAACTTCTTTGGCAAGAAGTATAACTCAGTGGGTAGAAGGCTTCAATCCCCTGAACTGCAAAACAAAAATCTAAGAAGCTGGGTATAGTAGCTTTTGAATGTAATCCCAGCTACTTGCGAGGGACAGATCAAGAGGAACACGGTTTCAAGGCCAGTCTGGAAAAGAAACTGTCAAGACCCCCCAACAAAAGAATCTAGTTTTTAATTCCCTAATATCTTGTTACTAGCTTTTCATGTACTTTCTCAAGTGGCAAACAGCTATAAAAAGACTCAGAGGAAACAACAGCTGGCTCCCAGACCAGGAAACAGCAGCTTCACACAGGCTGTTGTCAGGGGTCTGGACTTGAAGTACCTTAGAGAGCTCAATTTCAAATTTGAATATCTTATGAAAGATCATACGGCATTATATTTATCTGTACTATCAGAATCAAAGACAAATTCTCAGAAGAATAAAACTTTTTGAAGAAACTCCAAGTTGGTCTTACATGGTTCCAGTTTTGAAGGTAGGGCAAGTATATTCTGCCTTGAGCATCCACATGTTTTCCAACTGAGATTCCCATATTTGCAGTTGGCTTCAAGAAACAAATGGGGGGAGCAAAAGGGTGAGAATCCAAAATCCAGAAACGAATTGGTATGTTATATGTATTACCTATTTGAGACAAAATAAACACATTTTCAAACAATAATGAAGCATGCACATTCTATTTATGTCACACCTACATGCCACTTCAAAGTATGAACTGCTAATTCAAAATAAAATGAAAAAGGGCTGGTTATATAGCTCAATGGTAGAGTACCTGATTAGCATATGTGAGTTACTGAGTTCAATCCCCAATAGTGAGAAGGGAGAGAGAGAAGGAGGGAGGAAGGATAGTCAAGTTTATATGAAAAGGATTAATGTAAATCAAAGCCGATTTCTCCACTTCATCTGTCCACTTTCAGTATAACATAAAGAAGACAATAACCAGTTCATCAAATTTAATCCAATAAATATTTATAGGATCTACTATACCAAGAATTTGGGATATAACTCCATTGTCTTTGCCCATACCAAGCAGAGGTACTGTATCATCCTTGAAAAGTAGTGGACATATAATCTATTTTTTAATTTATATTATATTGAAATTATTTATTTACCAGCTTGCCTTCTTGCCTGCCTGCCTGC